GCAATATATACATATTCATATATATACGTATGCACGGGTATGTGTGCAATTTCAGCCGTTTGTGTGTGACGAGTTCTCGTCACACCAGGCCCCTTGATTCACACGTGCGTATACATTTACATATGAACAAGCATGTACATATAACAGTGTGCAAAAAAAAGTCAGATGTTCGGTACCATTTGTGGTACCATTTGTATCCCAATAGCATCACTCCTCTGCCTCGACTGTCAGATGCAGACGTATATATACGGTCGCTTATATCCGATTGAACCCCATTCGGGGCAAGCGTGTATGTGCGCATTCCCCACCACCCCACACTCTCGTCTACTCCTCAGGGCACACACGGGCAGATGTATGGACGTGTGGTGTAGTGTTCTGTATATTGAAGCATATGCCAATTGTGTGTATGGTCGAAATATGAACGGGCCAAGTGTTGTGAATTCGTATTTGGATACAAGATGCACAAATATTCGAAGCACCACCTCCAATGTTTGTAGGATTTAGAACATCGACCGGCTCCTTTTTCTTATTGTGTAATTTTTGTACCAATTTGTAGTGTTTTAATGAATACCCAGTACATCAGATCGTCTCTCACCCGGGGCAGGCCTGTATGTGCGCATTCATCACCAATACAATACACAAGCCACACTGCCTATACGGGCAAACACGCACAAACCTCGGAAGTATCTCTGCCACTATCCATCATATCGCACACACTATCTATCATATCGCACACACTATCTATCAATACGCTTAGTGCATTGACTACGACTTAGAATTGCGTTATTATTCAATTGTGGGCGAGTTACAAAATACAATATGCCATATTGCCGAAGAGCCCTCAGCCGGGGCAGGCCTCTTATGCATCCAGAGTACCACAACTCAGGCTCAACCACACGTTCATGGATCAACAATACGCTAATGACACTCCAATCCGTATTATGAGATGTACCGAACACGTAAATGTGTACTTCTGTATGTACTACTTTTCGGTCAGCATAAGAGGTTTATCAATCACACTTGTTCTCTATAGCTTTGAAATAGTTGGGGGGTAGGCATAGTATCGTATCCACCAGAGTATGGCTCACTCGGGGTTGGCTCATGTCCATATGTGCGCAGCAACCACGACCCCACCACTCAAACGCAATAGTTGTAATTTAGCAATTCAATGGTGTCCTAATTATACATATGGCAATTGTCTAAATAGAATATTGTCTCTCACCCGGGTTTGGCTCATGTCCATATGTGCGCAACAACCACGACCCCACCACACGTACGCAATACTTATAATTTAGAAATCTAATGGCGACCTAATCAAACATATTCCAATTATTTAATATGTATTTCAGGTGTAAACATATTCCAATTATTTAATATGTATTTCAGGTGTAAACATATTCCAATTATTTAATATGTATTTCAGGTGTAAACATATTCCAATTATTTAATATGTATTTCAGGTGTGTCCACAGAATCGAATATTCCTGATTATCGCTCGCCCGGCGTAGGTCTGTATATGCGTAGCAACCACCGACCCACACTCCACCACGAATTTGTGGGCGATCCCGAACTTCGGCAGAGATATTGGGCCCGTAATTTTGTGGCCTGGACGGATTTTAAGGACAGTAAAATCAATACTACACACCAGTTCCTCTCGTGGCTGGAGAATCAGGTAGTTGAGCGTGCTGCGTGTGCTCAGTCACAAAGTGTGGGTTGCAATGTATTGGTATACAGCTATGTATATGCGCAATCGCAGAGTTGTATATATATGAATGTATCTATACACACATGTTATACTAAATATGTTTTCCATACTTATATTGTATTCTTATACTGTATAATATATGTATATCTATGAAGATCTCTGATTGGTCCCAACTGTATTCATCGCTATATGTTTCGAATGCCACGCCAGGGAAAGTAATGTGTAATGTCTGAGGCACCGAGTGGTATAAAGAACTTAAGTGCGTCTCATATCGGAATAGCTCGATTGCCGTGAAATAGATCTGAGAATTAGTTTGTAGAAGGAGCGCATAGACCTATGCCCGTGCTTGTACCTTCACCTGAGGAGGCACATTCGCACTGGGGTGTAATCTTTTACCATGGTTAACTTATTCAACACGTGAGTATATGTAGCCTCGTTAAATAACATGGTAGTGTATATGTCTGTACATACTATGTTTCATGTTGTATATTTGATGTAAGGCTATATCGCCTACGATGTGAACACGCACACACACACACCACACACATATATATATATATATATATATATTTATATATATATATATATATATATGTATATATATATATATATATATATATATATATTATATATATATATATTATT